ACAAAAATTACGTTCATTTCTGAAACCATTTTCCAGGAAGCAATTTCACCATCATGCAACGATGGGGGCAAAAGAGCTCAGCTCTGTACAGCAGGTGAATTTACTTTTTACAGCTATTTTATTCGTTTTGAAAATGCTCTACTTATACGTAAAGTACAGTGCTCGGCTCCGTTTTCGCCGTCCAGCGAGCACTCCCAAAATTCAGAAACAAAATGCGCTACCATGCCTTTTTTTTGCTTCAAGTGGAGGGAAAAAAAGGAAAAGCCTTGGAGTATTTATTGTGACCAAAGTGTTGCAGGAGCTTTTTGAGGCGGTGAGACGAGGCGATGCATTGAAGGTGCAAACCTGGTTGTCCAGTAAGCGAAACCAGCGACCGCGGACACCGCTCAAGTAACGCAGATTTTCATCCTTGAAAATGCCTGTTGAAATTTTTGCAAATAAAAAAATATCGCTTTTCTTACTTCCGTTTTGTATGCCCTTTATTTAAAGCGTGAAAAATGTTTTTTTTTTTTTTAAAGAAATTTTGGTTGCAGCATCTCAGAGCTTGTAAAACTTTAGTACTTTATGTAGTGTTGTGACCAACTATTCGGGCAACCCTCATGGTGGAGATACACATACATAGAACAGGCAGTGGCTACGAAGTGAAGGTATGCGGCCCGGGATTGAAGAGCCTATGGCATAGCTGTGCCCGGCAAGAGCACCTAGTAACATCACTAACACGGGATTCCCGCACCAATTCTTCGGGTGATCTTGGTATTTCTGGTGCATGGTGTCCTTACTAAAGATTGTTTAGCTCACAGGGAATAAATTAAGTACTTTTGGCTGAATTTTCCTCCTTTTACTATTTTTCTCCCTCGACAAAAGAAAGAGGCCTCCCTGCTCCCCCTTTCTGAATAGGTCACTAGTTCAAATCCCGATAATGTCAGTTGCATTCCGAAAACACCTTGCAGCTTTTTACGTTCCTCCGCATCGTCCAATTCAGCATGGCTGTGCTCGATTGTGGATCCATCAAACGGGTATACAGTACTGCATCTTGCCGCTTTATTAGGCCACAAAGAGGTACATATTCCAAATTTTGCGACATAATTCTAGCATTAGACTTGTCACTCTCTGCACCATTGTGGCTCACATTTGATATTTAGACACAATCTTAGGTGAGTAACACAACAGAATTATATCAATACGTTATCCGAAACTCTTTACCGGTTCCCCGGTAGGTGGAGGCCAAGGTCAGTGATCGTTCCTAGACGGGTGAACAAATAATTTTAACTTGTTAAGTAGCTTTACGTAATTGAATTTTCGATTAAACAATACCATATGAGCAGTGAGGTTCTTGAAATTCATCGGTTTTTTGGGAACCTGATGTGGTTAGGAGGGTTTATTTTTTTGGGAACCTGATAAACGTGCTAAAACAAATTGGGACGGGTTTAATTTTGCTGCGATACTGTGGTACACCGCAAAATAACGAAGAAAGTATCATTTTTATAGCATTCGAAGTGATGCCAAATAGAGGTGTCACGCACTGAGTTAACTTTTCACATACAGTTTCTATTCACATTCGAGATCAATAATCTCGAGTTTGTTTTTCATAATTTCAGTCAAAACACAACTTCAGAAGTAAACAGACCAGTAAAACGAGTCAAATTTTCGGCTGAAATGAGTTTTTGCTATTTAGCTTACCGGAAATGTTCAAAAAACACTTCAGTTCAGATCAGATTCACTGTAACGCTCGTTGGTTGAACCTTTAACTGTACTTTGCTATGTGACAAGAATTTGTTGGAGCAGAATTCTAAACAGTTCTGACTGTGAGTCTTTCAAACTGAAATCTAGGTAGTTCGAATATTGCTCGGCGTTGACTCACAGTTGGCAGGGGTGAGAGACCGACGAGGCTGCTTACCAATACATCTGGCAGCGTGGAATGGACATGTGGATGCGCTGCAGGTATCCTTTCATCCATCACTTTCCTTTTTCGCTCAGCTTTGCAGCCCATCGGCCGCGTACTTGTCCTTCAACAAAAGGATAAGGATACGCCCCAAACTCGGCGTCCTTCACAAAAAAAAAAAAAGAAAGAAAAAAAAACAGCTGTCAGCAAAATCCAGGACGGGTTAACGTCTCTGACTCATTTGCTTTCTGCGCTGTATAATTTAGCAGCAATTCGTGTAACCAACACAAAAAATCGCTCTAATTGCGAGTGTGAAGTCAAACTGCTTTGTAGAAGCAAAAAGTTTTCTCTGTAGCTTATTTGTTATTGACGCTTATCTCTGATGATAAAAAGTGTAATTAAAAATCCTGGACAATGAAGTTCTTGTCGTTTTTTCAAAAATCCGTAAATTTTCGGCCCTCTACATTTCCATTCAGTTATTTAGCAAACACAGTTTTTTTATTTTTTTTTTTTAAGAGTTTCAGTGAACAGACAATAATTTCAGCTTTTAATTGATGCAGATCCCAGTACAGTTGATGCAGTGAACAACGCCAAGGAGTCACCACTGCATCTGTCGGCGCAACACGGTCATGGCAAAGTGGTCGCTGCTTTACTCGCTGTATCCTTTTTATGCATTTTTGCATGCTCAGTTTAAGCACGAATAATGAGATTTTGTGTGTGCATGTGCATATGTGTGTCTTTTTTGTACGGCCGAATGATTTAGCTTTGGAACTGTGAAAATTAGAAAGCGTAAACCTTGAGAACATTGCCTTCGATCATGTACGGAGTCGCCAGTGGGAATCCATTTTTAAGTGACAATACATCCTGAACTATGGGCTCAAGTCTGTTTTTTAAGTCAATTTTTTTATCTCTGAACGAATAACACGGCCAACTTGAAATTGGATAGTTTAATTCAGGACGCAATTGGAATTTTTTAAATTAAGATTTAATTGCCAAATTTGTTATATCAGAGCTTGTAAGTTCAGGCCTAAATTTAATTTACTTCTCACTTACATAATGTGGCGAGCGAGAAACTTGAAATTTGGAAGTTCCAGTTAGCAGTACAAAGCGACATGAATGAGCTTAAATTAGCTTTAAAATCTTTTTATTTCCTGTCCAATGAGCACTTATAGTATGAGCTGAATCTACAGCCTCACAGCGAAGGAGGCCATGGGAGCAATATTTTTCATGCATCGGATAAATGGTTAAAACGCTTTTGCCTGGGTTAGGAAATGCTTATTTTTGCAGCGGGCATTAGTGGGGTCAATGTATCTTGCTGTTATTTCATAGTTTGTTGATCTAATATAAAGATAGAGTCGACTTACCGTGGTAGCTTCTCTTTCTCCAAATACAGTTTTGTCCTAGAAGCAAAATACGTCTCACTGGAAATCTCCGCTTACTTGTATAATTTTCTTAGCCTTCTCTCTCACCTTGTACAATTCCCGGTTGCCATAGGCTCTTGAGAAACTTGATTTCCCTGCTATATTTTTGGGTACAGCTTAAAAATTTTCAACTTTTGCAGAAGCATGCCGATGCACGGCTGAGGAATGCTCGATCTGAAACCGCACTTGATGTAGCGGCACGTCTTGGCAAGGCAAACGTTTGTCGCTTGATCATATGCAGTTGTCCAGAATTAGCACTGCAGGTTAGCATTTTATACTTTTAAAAAGACAATTTAGTAGCTTTTGGCGTAAAAATGCACTGGCATGCAAAAACTTGATCCAGGAAAAAACAAGTTTTTTCTTTATAAAAAAAAATCGTTGACCATTATCATAATTCATTCATTGCAAATGGCGGAGGTATACAGTACGAGTGGTAACACGTGCCAAAAACAGTCACTCGTTGGTGCTGGCGTATGCCAGGAAAAATCGCCAGCAATTTGCTTCCAAACATTTCTCGGAAGCAATACCCATTACAGTGTTTGTCGTTGGATCTCATGTCCGAGGGTTGAGAAGAAACAAATTGTTTCCGATTTCTGGCATATGTCAGCACGAATTTTCCATTAAAACGGGTGAGTGAATCATAGAAGTATTAGTATCAGTCGTCTACTGGCGGAATCGACCCCGTCACTTTTAGCGTGAGAAATTTGCGGATCCAACACAGCTTCATGACTGAGATGTTGGAAGAAACGAGAATTGAAACCTGCTACATAATCTTTGTCATTTTTTTTTAGATATTCTGAAGTGCTGTAATGTTGAAAATTTTCACTCCGCATCACACATCCTGCATCACGATTTGTTTGTTTCCAGAGTGCTGCAGAATGCATGACAACGGATCCAGAAAAATCACGACATTTGGCCCAAGTT